AGGATCTGTCAATATCCTCTGATATATAGACATTATATATACAGTTTTTTAACAATTTATGTTGACTCTGATTTAAGTAATATGATCAATGTGTGCTCTGAGCAATTTCCCTCTATGTTACAATTAACAAAAATTACAAAATTTGGAAGAATCGAACATTTTTACGTATCGCACAGCAATGATACCGACAGAGCATAACGAATGTTCAAAATTTGAAAGATATTAGTTATGAATATTTGGAAGTCATTTGAGAAACAGTATATTCAAGAAATGTGTCAAATTTGAACCAAAATTCTAATAAATAATTATATAATAACATTGTACAATTATGAAATATTGATCAGCAAACCCTTCTTGCTGCGATCGAATTAAAAAGTTTGAGACTTCTCGCACAGTCACAGACTGAATCGCATAAATATTTAAAATACGCTTACGACACGTGGTTCGTTATATCGCAGTTGTACTGGTGACGGAACATTCTCGACGAATTAATTTACGAAAAAGTACATATCAAAATATCATTTCAACCGAAAAATAATAAGACCGTACATCACGTACGAGCGTTGCGAGCACGACGAAGGGAATTTTGTCTGAATTTTATATTCGTGACGTGGCTGTCGCTTCTTGACTTCCCTGACACCCACGGGCAGCCCCATTCGCCTTGGACCAGCCTGGAATTTCAATTATTGTCAACTATGCTGAATACGTTCAACCGGAAACGAGGGAAGAGAAACGGGAATTAGTGAGAAGCTTACAACTCATGTTCATAATGTTGAAAATGGAACGCAAAGCCAACTTCCCCGCGCACGTTCAATATTTCAACGGTGATGATTAACTCTTTGAGAGGCAGAAGAAGGGTACATTTAGTAAAGGGAGACTCGGCAAAGTGGATACTTCGGAATAATAATTTTTCACCCTTCTTGATTCCATTATCCCTGCCGCCGCTCTTCGTACTTCCTTCACTGTTTTTCGATGAAGCCTTCTTTTCCCGTTTTGTAAGGAAGAAAGCGGTTTCTTGGGGCTGATGGTACCAAGGAATGAGTGGAGCGATGAATTAATTATTGGAGAGTCATTCTCGCCTTTGATTGAATGATAAAAGTAATTTTCATATTAGTGCGTCTTCACTTCAGGCTTTTTAGCTAGTCCGACAACGGAAGTTAGAGGCAGGAAATCGTGGTAATTTCTGTACGAGAGAGAACTTTTCTGTTTGCACTTTTATTCTTATGTTCAGTCGATTCATTTAGAAAACCGTAGGATTTATAAATAGATTGTTCGAGACACATTCTTTCGGAATTCGTACTTTTCATCTACTTAATTAAACAATTTACACGCTTCAAGGAATAAGAGATACAATAATCATTTATAAGTGTTACAATGTAAATTATATTTTCTGCGCCAATGAAAAAGCAAATCTTTATATATCTCTGATTAAATTACCTAATCTCTAAAATAATATTTTCATTAGCATCTGTAGTATAGTAATAATATAATATAGTGAATAGTATACTCATTCACCCGTAACAAATACTTGTAAAATGGGTAAGAAAGGAAACAAGTTTTCCCTAACAATTAATTAATTCATTATAAATTACTATTAAAAAATAACGCAAACCACAGACAAACTTTCATTTTCAAAGCAAGTGTGTAGTATGATACAGTAAAAGTATTTTGTTTCCTAATCCGAATAAAAGTATTTCACATTGCCTTTTTATAAGTTCGAGACAAGGTTGTCGTAATTGCAAATAAACACAGCCCAAAGGGAACTCTTGTCGACAAGAACATTTTAAGGGAAAACGAAGTTCGGGACGTCGTTATCCACGGCGCCGTAATCGTCGTTATTCTTCAGAGTGGTTCGCGTCCCCAACGAAACCCGTCTCGCTTGCGTGGAAGCCCGAGAAATTGTCGGCAAGCTTGCTCGCGGCGAGAGAGTCCGCCGCGTGGCTCTCACCTGATAGAAATCAGAATCGAACTTTCGAATATCATTTCATCTACGACCAGTCCGCGGTGTCGCGCAGCTTGTATTTGAGTGGCTTAGAATACTAGTGGTCTAACTATTTTTAAGTTTTCGAGAAAAAAAAATTCTATGAAACGTTCTTGGAAGAATTAAATACTAATATTATAATGTTATTCATAATATTAATTATTAATATTAGTAACTATATTACTGAAACAACGTTATTAATAATATTAAGAACATCAATTACTATTCATTGTTAATATTACTAACTGTAATTGTAACTACGACTTCGTCATTCAAATATTGACAGTTTACAATTAAATTATCGAGATAAGCGTAGATATGTATTATTTAACGGGTCATGAACGATGTATTATATTACGAAAAGTATAATGAATAGGAATTGAAGGAAAATTGTTTACATTTGCACATAGTTAACTATTAATTAATTTGATTCATAGTTACGGGGAGACGTTTTGACAAAGAAAATGAAAGCAAGAAAAGTTATCCTGCTTCAAATACTTCCAAGTTAGTGAACACTTATAAGTTTTAGTCGTCTCTGAACCTAATAATAATAAAATTGCAAAATTCTGGTAGTAATACTGTCGGTTAAAGTGATAAGGGTTTAATATTTAATAAGTGTTTTTAGTGTTCAATGTTTCAATTAATACTGTAATTAAATTACTACCTTCGTACTTAAAAATAAATTAAGTTCCGCATGTAGTATCATAATTGTGTTATTAACTCGAAGTGTTAACGATAAAAATTCTTTTGAATCACATAAAATAAAACTTACGCTGATTGACTTCTGAGGTCTTCATTTGTCGATGTCAGTATTTATATCAGTTTAAAGGAGACTAATCTAAACAGTTTCTAAACGTAAGTAAATGTAACAATCCTCGAGAGATACGATATGAAACAAAGTAATGAAGCTCGATAGCACGTGAGAAAGCGTCCATATAACGTATGGAGATTGTTCCTGAGTGGTTAACTCTTCAGGGACGACGCAACTTCCGTACAGAGTACTGGCTTTATCTCTATTTATGTTACTATTTAAGTGTTCAATTATTATTTAAGTGTACAATTTTTATTTGCTTAGTTATAAGTTACACTATAGTTATGCCAACATAGTATAATTTAAACTTTATCATTCAAGGTTACTTGGGTACTTTAATATTAGAATTAAAAGCAGCTAGAAAAAATATAATAACATTAAATTTATCAACAATTAACAAATTATGATAACGTCTGCAATGAAGGAAAAGAAATTTGAAATAATTGAAAGAAACTGGGTATTGGAAGTCTTGCCCGAAGTGTTGAGGCCGATTAAAATGTCCAACCGTTAGATTCAACGATCTGCGTCAAAGTTTTGCGATTTCTACTAGTTAGGTGGTAATTACTCGGTTGGATCAGCAGTTTCCGTGTAATTAAATTGAACATTAGTTGATCCCGACGTCTCCGATAAGCAATTACATCGTCCCAAGAGCTTTCTGAGCAGGGCCATTCAAGAAGTAATTTTCTGCGCGCGGCAGGAAACGATTTACAAGTAAAATCGAAACATAACTCGGTTAGAAGTCACGATTACCCCGATGCACGTGCAACAGCGGCAGCAAATCGTGATTTATAATTGCCACTCGAGTATCAGAGGTTGCTGAATCTCGGCTAGTTCAGCGTTGCGCAGTTATCGTGAACCATTCGTTATGGTACGATCGATATTTACATCTTTCCTTACGATTTCTTTCCTTTCATCGGGCTCACAACAGTTACCTCTACTATCAATGATTTCGCAGTAGAATGAAAAATGAAATAATTTCATGCGGATATTTGTCAAATTGACTTTCGATCGCGCTCATTCATGAATACATCTAATTTCCTTACAATGTCCTTATTCATGTACTCGAAGCCAGCCACAGGCAATATTCTTTAAACAAAACCTACAGCAAAGAACAGAGAATATTTTATCGAACGCAATTAATTTTCAATCAAAATAAAATGCATTCTTTCCATGGAAGTAACCTCACGAAGTCACGGGTCAATAGAATATATTCATTGTAAGATTCAATTTAATCCAAAGATTAAATATTCACAATCAAATGAGAATATACTCCTCAAAATAACACGAACTAAATAACATTCAAGCGTATTTAATCTCAATATTATAAAGGCATAGAGATCTCCCTTGCGCGAAGAAACTTTCACAAGAGCCAGCCTTTTTCATCAAAGATTTCTTTAAAAATCGAAGTGCTCTGAATCCGAGCTTATCGAGAAGTGTGCACTGCTTTTATTAAATTTCCTGTGCTGCCTCGTACGAAAGCGATAACAAAAACAGAGAATAAGCGTCTGGGAGAGCGAGAGAAGAAGGAGGACA